GGGGGGAGCCAGGTTGGGGAAGGTTGGTCAGCAATTGCTCTCACACAGGCCCTCTTAGAATGCGCATGTAGCATGAATTCTTTCGTACCACTGGATCCTATCCATGCGGCTATTGCATGATTGTGGAGCGACCTGCTAAGACTCCAGACCACCAGAAAATAAGGGAAAAGGCTGAACTGCACCACGAGGCGTGATGGGCTCCTTGCGGAGACCCCTCCGCAAACCGGGCAGCTGGTTCCTACCTATTACATGTGAAATAACGAACATGACCTGGGAAGCAGGAAGCCGAAATGTGATCTGGAGCCCAGGAGAACTGGCTTCAATCCTCTTTCCTTATTTATTTTACTGATTACCAAGGTGCCCAGGGAGTGAACATCCAATTATAAAAATGAAACGTTATAACAACAATGCAATTTAAGCTAGAGGCCTTAGAATCCTATTACCAGCAAAATCAGTTTAAAATGAAATGGGATTTACAATTTTAAAGTATCAGAATTTCAAGGTATTGAAAGTGTTCGTGTGTGGGCTACTTAAAGCATGGTGCTCTGCATGTTTGAACAGAAAAAAAAACCTGAGGGGCATCCAGTGGGTATGCTCAGGGGGTCTCCAACTGGAAAGACGGGCTACATCTGCACAGAGCGATCTTAATTATGCACTAATTCTTAAGAACATCAGGAGTTCCTTGGAACAAGACAAGACCAAGGCCCACTGAAATCAACACCTGTTACAAGAAATCCCTACACCTACCAGTCTGGAAATTTGCCAGCAGACACCACTCAACTTTCTGTCTATTTCTAATTTGGAAAACTGACCAACCGACCAAATGAAGTGATGGTATTTTCTTTCATTGCTTTTCTCTCCATTCTCTTCGTCGAGCAAAATCTCCTTATTGACTTTACTGGTTTGTATATTGCACCTTAACTACCAAAGATCTCAGGACAATGCACATAAAATTATAAAAATGAAATATAGTAATACATTATATTGTAAGAATTAATGTAATATTCAGTGACAAGAGCCATCAAATAAGCTTACTGTCAGCAAAGATCACTTTTAAAAGCGATCGCTTTTTTTCTGCCCGGTTGGTCAGACCCAGGGCCACCTAACCCAGCATCCTGCTCGCACGGTGCCCAAGCAACTGCTCACAAGATGTCCCCAAGCAGGGCACGTGGGCCACAGCGTCCTTCTGGCCATGTTCCTCAAGAACTGGGGAACATGGGCTACCACTTCCGATACTGGAAGCAGGACGTAGTCCTGATGGGTAGCCACTGCTGGCCTCTTCCTCCACAAATGGGCCCGATTCCCTCTGAAAGCTCTCCAAATGGGTGCCTGTCATTTCATCCCTATAGTTTGACTACCTGCCCTTGGAAGAAGCGCTCCCTTTGATCTCTCCTGAACATCCCACCAATCCTGGGATGCCCCTTGGGGCTCTATATGGTGGGGGAAGGAGAACTCTCTCTCTGCACATTCCCCGCAGCAGCAGCAACTCTCTGCATCAGGGTCGTGTCTCCTCTTGTTTACTCTTTCCCGAAGCTGAACGGTCCCAGCTTTTGCAGCCGCTCCTCATGGGAGAGCTGCTCCAGCCCCCTCGATCACCTTGGCTGCCCTTCTCTGCACTTTTCCCCACCCAATAATGCCCCTTTTCAGGTGCAGTGATCAGAACTGTACGCAATATTCGAAGTGTGTTCACGCCATAAAGGGAGTGGGATCTCAGCAGTCCAATCTTGCCTAGCGCGGAGCTGGCTTCCACAGCCGCTGAGCTCTGGGCAGGCATTTTCAGTCAGCTGTGCACCGTCCCCCCAAGATCCCTTTCTTGGCCAATTATTTCCTGTTGGCCCCCTCCACACACACACACACACACACA